TGCTAAATTTACCAAAATATAGATTGAAAATCGAAGATTGTAAAAAACAAGCACACTAATTGTAACATGGCGGTGGCATAAAAGTAGATTTTCATGGGTCATTTGTGAATAAGTTGTTTTGCTTTCAAGAATTTCTTAACAAATTAATAAGGTTTTAAAATGGCTTTTATGAAGAAAACTTGCAGGCTGAATTGTATTTATCTAAAGCCATTTTGCTTGATCCTAACCCGTTCAGATTTATGGCAGTATTTATGGAGGCAAAGTTGCCTGCAAAAAGTTAAACGTCAAAGTTTGTTTATCTTTCGATAGTTGCGCTGTGAGAACCAGGATTCTTCCAGGCGGTTTTCTCCCGATGGATTGGGAGCAGTTACTCAGATAATTTGCGATACAAGTTTTACAAAATTTCGCTTTTCGAACAGTTGGAAGCGCAATCGTTCCCGAAAAAGATCCCCTTCTTCCGGATGGTTACAGAAGTGCCCCATCCAATGATGCAGGGATGTACGGTTGAATGAAATTTTCGAAGAGTCTTTCGCCGAATAAAATCGCTGCGTTGGATCGGAAACCAGCTGATCTCCGCTAACGAACAGTTTCAGTGGTTTGCTGTCGGTTGTTATTTCGATTGTCATCGCAAGATCTGGAGAAGGCTGGTATGTTTTTCAACTTTAGACAATGTTTTATGAGTTCGAGGGCCCCGCTCACTTTACTCTTCTCAGACAGATGGTCAGTCGTTGGTGGTGTGCTGGTTCTTCTAAAGAAGTAAATTTATCTGAAATTGACTTGATTGTTTCATCCTACTTCGTCTATCCTTCGAGATTTCCTTGTCGTAAATTTGGCATTTATTAACTATGAGGAATTATCTTTTAAGCTCAATTTGTAAACAAAATAATTGGGGAGTTAATGATGCTTTTTAAAAAGCCTAAAATGCAACAATAAATGCTTTTTCCTCTAATGCAAAACCTAATTGTTTTATGGTTGCTTTTATAATGATAGAACACGTTTATAAATTATTTTATCATAACATTAATAAACAATTGCTAATGATGTTTATGCTTGAATTACAGAACAGTTTTAAGGAGGGATTGATAACAGTTTTAAATTTATTTTTAAAACAAAGCAGTTTTCGACTTTCTTGCCAGACTATGAAAGGTTTTTAAAACAGCAAAAAGCTGAATTTCTAAGCAGGAATGTTTTACACTTTAAAATGCTATATTTAAACTAAATGGATTGTTCATTGCCGTTATAAAACCACCATAAATCAGAGTGGATGCTAAATGGTTACTGAATTGTTACTTGGGAGGGGATGTAGTCAACACAGAGGTAGCAGGAACTGTGAGTCAACGGAAATATCTTGATCATAAAGTCATAAGTTTGTCAAGTTATATCACGTAATGTAGTTTGAGAAAAATATGTTAACTTTTTATTGTATAATTTAGCAAAAATCTTTTGAGGCGGGGTCAGACTAATTTTTGTTGAAATCAATTTCAAGTCAATTTCAAAAACAAAACGCATATTCAATCAAAATTCAATTTACTTATTGATATCGCATAGTAATAAGATTCTATGACCATAAGTGCTGGAAATTAAATTGTTTGTTTAATACCACAATTTTATTATTTTTCATTAAACATGCCTGTGGGGAACACTGTGGCATACCAGTGATATGTATACACCTTTTTTTGTAAGAAGTGTAAGAAGTATTCGTCAATTAACCTGTAACCGTCAAAAACGTCTGCGGTAATATCTGCAATGCAAATTCACCATTACAAACGTTAACGCTGACGTTAGCGGCTATTATCGATTAACAATCCCGATCACTACCCTGGTGCAGTACGGAAAGTGATTTTATCCTGGAGACCTGGCCCCGAAGATTTTTTTTTTTTTTTATTCAAGAGGTTTTCAGCCTAAAGGCTAGTTCGCCTCTGGAGACTCGAAGATAATTTTCTGTGCTTGAAATCGAAAACGAAAACGAAAACGAGAATAACTACCTAGGCTACACTGAAAACGAATCTTACAGAGAGAGTGAGTCTCTTTTACACATTTGCATGAATAATTTTCTAAAAGCGTAAGTCACTACACAAGCGGCCTATACTTTTAGAAATTTATACATACGAATGAGTAAAAATGACTCACTCTCTGAGTAAGATTTGTTTTCAGTGTATGCTTTTATGAATCGTATAACTTTCCTTCGAAGAACGCGTTACCCACTAAGTTCTACCCACCGCTTTTTTGACTAGTTCTAGCGACTAGTTCTTTATTGACACTACTCACATGACACTGGTTGAAAAACCCGCCGAGAAAAAGCGGTTCGTAGAACTCAGTGGGTAACGCGTTCTTCGGGGGATATTTCTAGACAACATGCAAGACCTCATTATTTCGTCAAAAACAACCAGCATTTGCCAGACACATATCCCCGAATAAATCTTGTGTACTGGTAGTGGTAACGGAAATCGACGTTCAAGAAAATCATACGATGAAATTGATCACCACCAGGTCATAAAGCTTTCGACCATGAATACTAGCCATATTTTCCTGCTAAGGATCCGATTTGGTTGTTTTCTAGCTTCCGGGAATGTAATTGCACACTATATTGACGACTGCCCCGGATGTTTTTGATCAAATCATACACACTTAATCTAGTTCGGTAAAATCTCCAACAGCCGATTACCTCGGCATTAAGTTTTGCTGATATCTCTGCAAAATATCTGTTTGTTAGCTGATATCTCAGCAAAATGTTATTTGTTAGCTGAATCTCGACAATTGTTTTACTGAATCTCAGCAAAACAAACTGCAGAAATAATCGGCTGTTGTAATATCGGCGAAAAAAATTTAAGTGTGTAGTTTGAGGTGCATGGGTTGGCCTTAATTTGCTTCATGACATTCCACCACTTTTAACGGTTAACAGTACTGTGGTATTAATTGCGTCGGTTCACGACAAGTACAATGCCACTTTTCTAGCCTTCGTCATTGTCTCATTGTACTTTATCAATACGCCTTAAGAGATTTCTTGGAAAATCCAACTCTTTCGTTAGTTTTGATATGTACCATGTTTGGTTTTACATGTAACTTTGTACAATTATTTTTCCAATTTTCTGCAGAATGCAGGTAATGTCGGCCTAAGTGTCCCTTATTTGGGCCCATACATAAATTCAGCAATCAACTTAATTTTCAATAGAAACCAAAAATATCCATTAGTAACGTCCCAATAACGCGTTCATCTAGATAAAATTGATAAATAGCAGATTTTTAGCGATGGGCCCAATCTTAGAGTCATAGGCCAACATTAGAGATATTTCCCCTATCTTATTTTTTTCTGAAACACGTTTGAGATCTGCTCTTATTGTTATTGATATTGTGAGCACGTAGATGTCGAAAGTTTGAAAATCCGATCACTAAGAGCACTGTAATAACCGAAAATGTTTGTTCAATTTATAAATGATCCAAGCTTTAAAATTCAACATCCAAACATTCGGGAAATCTTTGACCTATTTTTATCTAACATATTCATCCTTATAATTAAATGTGGTTTTTCGAATCTTGTCATTGTGGTGGAGTTTTATTTGTTTTAAAGCTATAAAACCAATAAATTTAACTATTTGGATTATGCCAAAATCGGTTATAACTGTGTAACTGAATTTTTTTGTTACTTTCCATTATTTATGTTCTTAGAGAATACGCATTTTCTCTTACACACCTGATGTCATTGCAGGTATGCCTCGATATAACGTTACTGTCACTTTTGACTTTTATCGTCAATATCTCCCTAATAACAATTGAATCATACAAATTAATATGACCAATAGATTAGGGATTATCTCATTTGTCCGATGGTGTTATTACTTTGCTTGTTTGAATGATCGTTTGCGAGAAATCGGCGATGGAAGTCAAAAGTGACAGTTACGTTATATTGAGGTATGTCTGTAATACATTCTTAGGCTCATGTTGCTACGTCCCCTGGAAGCTATTAAACACAGTAAGTGATTGTTATTTATACTGATTCTTAAATTCAACACATATATACTATTTATTGTCCATAACACTATATACTCAGGTATTTTTAAGCGGGGGATTAAAAAAGCCACTTTATTAATGTCAAGGTTTTGATTAAGATATGATACGTATAATTTTAGCATGCTGGGGTTAATATACACAGGACGGGGTAACTTTGATAGTTTTTTAAAGTATATTCTAAATATGTTTTACAACAATTAATGTTTTTCAAATATTGTTTTGAACAAGTTCTGAAATTATTGCATTGGTACTATTTTTTTCTTGTGACCGAACATCAGTTTTTTTTTTGTTTTGGGGTTACTTTGAAAATACTCTAAGCGTGTAGAAAAAAAATCCGTGAATCTCAATCAACTAAGTCCGAGAAATATTAAACTTTTAATGAGAAAATTTCAGATGTTTGGATGATATGCAAAACATACTATTTCAAAACTCTATACGATAACAAGTTTAAACATGGAACCAATGTTTCCAATACGGAGAGTAAGTTTAATCATTATATTCTCCTATCAAAGTTCACCGCATTTTTAAAGATACCCCGTTTTATAGTTCCGTAAAATTTCAAAATCCGGACACTTTTGAAAGTTGATTTTCAACATCTACCATGTTCAAAAAAGCACGTCAATTTTAACGTGACATTATTGCATAGTTTATAATGATCACCCATGTTTATTATATTGAAAAGCACACGTTATAATTAATTATAAATGTCTGGATTAATAAACCGTCTGGTACTCGGAGTGTTACGGTAGGTATTTTAAATTTTTAGAACTCGAACAACTTTTTTTTATATTTATGTTTTAAATGTGGATGCCATTTTCTTACATGGCATGGCAATAAATGGATAATGTGAGTGGAATTAAATCGTTAAATCTTTTTCGCTAGAAATCGTTAGAGATGTACCTAGTTTGTTTGTTTGTTTAAAAACACGTGTAAAAAAAACGAGAAAAAAAGGTACTTATATTATCATTTTGATCATACTGATCATTTCTTACCACCGTATCCTCCGTATCCTTGTCCTCCGTATCCTTGACCTCCGTAACCACCATAACCACCTCCCAATCCACCTAATAAGCCATATCCAAGGGCTGAAGCCATTGCGATTATGGACACAAATACTCCAATGATCATCTAAATAAATAAACAAAACACAAATAATGATTACACTTAGAGTAAAGTGGGGCAAAAGTAAGAGTTGAAAAAAAAATCAAAACTTCAAGCATTTGGAATTGAACTACCCAAGTAACCACCAAGCCTGTTAGTAGCCTTCTAATCGCCCTTTGTACAATATAAGGTTGTTATAGGGCTTTGTAGCATTATATAAGCCATATATTGCGAAAAGGGCTTGTTGGTTACTTAGGTAATTCCATACAAAGGATCTTTCATTCAAAGTTTACAATTTTCTATTACAGAACTTTGATTATTTTTAATCTTCGTAGCTAGAACGATTTTTTCGGAAGAGTGTTCAAAACGAACTTTTCCCCACCGGTGGTGCAAAAGTTCGTTTCAGCAATGGGGCAAAAGATCGTTAACTTAATGGCAGTTTTTGAGAAGTTTTGCCACAACAAATCTTTAAATACCCCATGATGGTGTAAGGACATAAAGAAACCACATGTTTGTGCCCAGATTCAGTGCTTTACCGATTTTGTGAGCTCCCGATTTTGACAGATTTTTTTCCCATTTTTTCAGCTTGCAGGTTTCAATAAATTTTCCAGTTTTTAAACATGAATTCTTAAACTTTTCGACGATTTATGTAATTATTCATTCAAATATCAATCAATTCAACGCACAGGTCTTTCAACCAATGTATCTCTAACATTTAAATTCATTTATATTCATATAATTTGAATGATTTCACCGTTTAAAAGGATAATTGTTTATTTTACTCCATGTTGCTCTACTAGAAATTATGTGTTTTGAATTGCTGTTTGCTGGAAAAAATCATTTTTACCAAGGAAATCCTTTGTTATCTTTGCAATTGCTTCATAGTCACAACAATTATTTTATGCTTTATTTTATTATTTTTTTTATTATTTTATTTATGCTTAGAAAATAAAAAAAGAGCATTATATATTTCAAAAAATGCATTATGCATCCAAGTTTTGATAATTGTTCAATTTTCAAGAGATTTCGTCATCGCAAATTCTCCAATTCGACCAAAATACATAGATAACATCGACAATTGTAAGGGCCCTATCAGCTTTTGTTTTGGCCGCTCATGCCACTTCCATGGTAAATTCCCCCTACTCGACAGTACTATTCCTCGATGACTTTTTCGAATGGACGTATCAGCTTTTGTAAACAATTCATTTGATCGTCGATTTAGCGTAACTGGTAGCTCGCCTACGCATCCTAACACTACCATCAGACAGGGAAAATTTTGGAAAAAAAACATAAATGCCAAGTATATTATGAAAGATATTTCATTTGCGGTGAGAGGTGAACTTCAGGTGCATACTATGCAATAATCCTGCGTTGGTTGGTTGTGTTTGTTTATTAAGTTATGAGGAGAATTTTATGGTAATACGGAACAAAATTTATTGAGGATTGTGAGAATTCCGAGAGAATTAAAACAAAAAATTTAAAATAAATTTTGGGGAGAATTTCAGATGAAATTCAAACGGAATTTTGATGAGAATTTCAAAGCAAAGGAATTAAGAATTCCCTATCACAGCCTTCAAAATAGAGTACCTGTCACTTCAAAACATGTCTGGTAACTCTTTGTATGCATTTAGATTAACATCCGAAGTCCTTCCTTTTTTTGCATACTCTACATTATGTTTTACACTGCACTACCCTCTGTGATCAATTAATGGAAAGCAGTTTATGCATAATTTCTAAAGGGCTGGCAACCCTATATCAATCCTATACGTTTGACAGTAGGTAACATCACGGGCCATGGATCAACAATAGAAAAGGGCCCATCAGCATTTGTAAACAAACCGTTCCAAAGCTCTTTACTCACAAAGTGAAGGCCACCCACGCAAACCAACTCCATCATTGGATAAGGGAGTCTTCTACCTACACGATGATGATGTTGGTTTGTATGAGCGGCCTTCGATTTGTCAGGAATGGGCTTTGGAACGGTTTGTTTACAAATGCTGATGGGCCCTTTTCTATTGTTGATCTAATATTATTTAAATACGGCCCACCTGACGTACACATGGTGGAAAGGAACAGAAAATCGTGTTGTGTGAAAGACAAGAGCAGATGATGGCAATAAAAACATGGCCACCAGTCAGCCCCTGATAGTTTCCAATGCCACAAACAAGAGTAACGACATCTGTTGAAAAAAAAGCAGAATCCATTTCCTTCGGTTCATTATAACAGAAATATCAAAATATCTTATGAGTATTTCAATGGAATATGAATGGAATAAATCTGGATAAAAATATAGCTAGGGAGATTTTTTTTTCGCAACTTTTTTTAACGTGCAAGGGGAGGTAATTTGAGGAGAATTCATAGTAATATTTTAGTAATAAGGAATTCTGAAAGAATTCGCAGGAAACTTTGGAAAAATACTCAAAAGAATTCATTAAAAATTTTCAGTTCAACATTTTGTGGAAGAATACATACGAAATGCTGAGGAGAATTCTTAAGGAATGTTCATAAACTACGTAGACACTTAAGGGGGAAAGTACAATTAGAATTTTTTTTCGAAAAAAAATTTGTTGGCTTAATTTACTCTATATGTATCTGGGAATGAGCCTTTAAAAGCATAAAGCCGTCCGGAACTTATTTAAAAAGTTATACGCAATTCAGTGAGTGCATGTCAAATGGCTGAACATGTCAAAGTTGAACTTTATGCTTCTACTGAAAAGTAGTGTTTTCAAAATCGCCGTGCAATGTACAGGTCAGAGTTTTCATTCAAATCGATTCCGGTTTTCTGTTTAATGTTCATAATTAAATTCTCCACAACATGAATAGAAAGTTTTTTTATATTGGTTTGTTATAACATGTTTTTTTTTTATAAACAAAGTCGAAAAAAATTGGGTTTTTTAAAAAAAAAATTTTCAACTTCAATTTTTTTGTGAAAAAAACCTTATTTTTACATACGAATTAATTCATGTTGTGCGCTGTACCTTCAAATTTAATGTCCTGTTTTTTTTTTGTTTCAGACGTGATCATGGACGTAGGGACTGCACGGCGCGAAGTGCTGCTTTAAAAAATTGACTTCACATTATTTATAATAATTGGGCTAAATTGCAAAATTTAAAAAAAAATGTCACTGATAATTAATCTTCATTAAATCCTTAATAACATACATAAAGAATCGCTAACATTCATTTATTTCCCTACTCGCAATCCACTCTCAAAGATAGGCCTCATTTTAGGCCTTCTAATTGTACTTCCCCCCTTAAGGGGGTGGGGTTGGCGAAGGTCTACGGTTCATACAAATTTTCGTTTGTTTGGCCGACTGTCTACCCGGGTCTTAAACCTCTCTAAATCAGGCTGTGTAGTTTAAGCTTAGGGAATTCACTCGAGAGCTCCAAGATAGTTCTGAGCAGAATTCGTCGAAAATTGAAGGGAAATTCAAGATTGTGAGGAATATTTCCAGGGAATATCAAAGAGAATTATTGGGAACAAATTGAGCGTTTTTTTGCGAAAATGATTATTAATAGGAAGAGAATTGTAGAGTGAATTAAAACCAATATTATTATGTGATTCTGGTTCAAGATCTTGACAAAAGCTGTGAGATAATTGTGGGACGATTTACAGATGAAAGATGTGAAGAGTTTTAATGAAATTAATATAGTAATTCAAGCAAAGAAAAGATAATCTTAATTTTATGTAAAAAATTTACACTGACCCTACGATTATGGATTGACCAAAAAAAAATAAGGATCAGTCATTTCAGCGTGTTTATAAAATGGAAGTGATCCATAATTGTGGGGGCAGTGTATGTATACACCGCTTGATTTGATCAATTAGGATAGGGGCGTCAATTTCGTGCTTTGCCAAAGGAGCAGCAAACTTCTACTACGTTTTTGATTAGGTCATGCTAAATTATGGAAAAAAAATGTCCCCCTTCTCCCTTTCGTTGCTTTTTTCTTAATCCTAATGCTTTGTTTGTAACCAGGGTTGCTTCCACTCACTTGTTACAAAAAATTGTTTTTCGGAATTATGAAATCATTAGATAATATAATGATATGTTGTACTTGTAAGTAACAAGTAGAGGGTGTGAAGCATTTGTTTGACTCATACAATTTAATAATTTCGCTTTCAAAGCGTCACAATCAGCGATCTTATGATTCGTGAGCGTTCACTCAGGTTGAACGAATCGTAAAATCACTGATTGTGATGCAATGAAAACAATCTTGACAGATTTTATGTGTCAAGTACATACTTCACACCCTATGCTTGTTACTTACAAGTGCAACATATCATTATATTATCAATGATTTTATAATTCCGAAAATCAATTTTTTACAATGAAGTAATGAAATTGGGTTGTTAGCGGCATGCTTAAATAAAACAGCAAAAACGTTATCTTCCATTTAATTCCACTCAATTAATTTTGTTTTCTATGACAGATACGTATTTAGACTATAATGTGCAGTTTTCATCAGTATCATTCCCACTAAAGAACTTATCAAAATCTAATCCCCTTAAGTACTCATCCCCTAGGTAAGAATGTCAAGATCACTGGTATAAAAATGAAACTACAATGCGTTGAATCGGAACCTACCTAACTAATAAAAATCAAAGGAGAAAAATCTATACAACTCTCTGATTAGGAAAAATTCCCAAAGGTTGGGATTGAACCCGGACACAATGGGTGAGAAAACTTTCACGCTTAACCACTCAATCACCAGCACTGTCTATTATCCGAAGAGTTGATTCATATGATTTTTATGAACTGGCCTCTAGAAAGTACTAACAATATTTACAAGGGCTCCAGTCTAAACACAACATTAACATATTTTCGATACATGGTCAGCATGAGTGATTTCATTCCCTGACTATATTTAGTTTTTACTAGAAAAAACTATAACTTCCATCAATCTATGAACCATTAGGAAAAAAATCAATATAGGGGAAATGTATGTAATGTCGGCCTAAGTGTTCCTAATATGGGTCCATACATAAATTCACTCAAATTTCAAAAGCAACCAAAAATATCCATTAGTACCGTCCCAATGACGCTTTCATCTACACACCAAAAAATTCTGAATTTTACTGGCGATGTAAACATCCATGCATGCAAACATTCATGCATGTAAACTTCCTTTTCACGTAAACTAGCAGCTTGCAAGAAATGTTGATAACAAAAGAGGACAGTTGCATACAATATATGGAATATTGCACGACATGTCTCATAAATTTACACGATCTATAATCTAAACTTGTATGATATATGACGCTCCTTTTATGTGCATCATAGTAACGTAAATTTACACTACTTTATTTTAGCTGTGTAGATACAATTGATAAATAGCAGATTTTTAGCGATGAGCCCAATCTTACATCCATAGGCCAACATTAGAGCCATTTCCCCTACTATAATACTTTGATGCATTTTTGAAAAATTCAAAAGCAGGTTTTTTTTTTCGACGCATCATTTTATATTACCAAAAGCTCTCGTCATTCTATTCCTTTTGATATTTTACGGAAAATAAATTGATCCTTAAACTACAAAAGTGTATTCCTAACACATAATAGCAACGCAGCCCTTATTTTCAGCCTCATAATTAATGCCCTTGTACTTTTTGGTTAACAAAAACTAATTCATTTTATATATTGAAAGCACTTGTTGTTTTGTTCTGACACTAAATAAAATAACAACAGGAAAGCTTCATGAACACATAAGCTTCGCATTTATTCCATTTCACGCACAATTTGCCACAAATGACTTTGTCAAATTTTCAACACTTACACAAGCACGCATTGTTTTGATTGTTTTGCAAACGGTTTTAGAAACTAAACAACACTCCCTCTGTGCCAAAGTGAACCTCTTCAAGTAACGACTGATGTTAGACTGAATCTGATGTTGTTCAGAAGCTTTTTTATACAACGATCATTCACATGGCATAGAGTCAGTGAGGTGTTATTATGGCGATTTTGTACTTATGAAAGAGAGGAAACTCTCTGATTCATTAAAAAAAAAAGTGGCCGCGGAATCTCTGGAGACCGGAGATGCAGTAAATGAATGGAATAATACTACGACTGTTTTCACACCTAAAGACTTTGGTCTAGTTCGTTGTAAGCTGAACGCACGCTGTGGTCGAGTAAGCACGTGGGCGAGTAACGAAGTAAAGGTGCTACTCTTGTGTTCTTTAATTTTTTCCATTGAAGATCGCCGGTGCTGCTGCCAGTCTCGCCTTTGTCTCGCAGCATGGGTTATGGGAATTTTTGTTCTGGGTCAGTCACCGGAAAGGTCATCGCATGGTCTTGAAATGTGCTGTCAGCAATCCACAGGAAGATGCGTATTGAATATTTTCCGGAATGTTTTGTAGTGGTTATTTCAGGATTGTGTTATTGTTTTTTGCTCAATACCTACTAGGTGGATGAATAATAATACTCGCAAAATAATGCGTGTCCTTGTAATAGATTATTACAAAGTGGTAGTGGTATTTCTCGATATGGATTGACCCCATATACCAGTTGGCATTGAAATTTCTAGTAGTATTTTTCAGAAACGATGAAAGAAGTAGCTGATTCTGATTATACTTTTGAGAATTAAGAGAAAAGTTCAAAGGATGCAATTTTCATTGACTTTGTTTTTTTTTATTGTAGATAATTATTTTGGCTAACTATTTAAATTTTGATATGTCCATCGCCGATCTCTAGTCCTAGCTTCTTTTAATTAGGCCTACTTGCTTATTTTTAGTCAAGGAATCAAACTTTGATTGACAATGGGCGGACCAGGACCAGGAGAGAATGTTCTCACTCTTCGAAGGGGATCTTACAGTTAGAATCGGTTCCAAGGCAAGAATGACAACTGTATCATAACTGAATACTTCATCATTTCTCAACAGTGATGAACGACACTTAACTATGGACTCGGGATATACTATACGTAGATAAAATACTGATTGCTAAGGATTTGTACTTGTGATAATCACTTTTTATATTCTTCCAAAAGTTAAAGAACTTTTCAAAGGCACGTCCTTTTATCAATCAAAACTGGATTCCTTAGCGACAAGCCATGACACTGATATTTGCACAGCTAACCTTAGTAACACCACAGGTTTTATCATTGTGTTAAAGCATTATTCTAGTCTAGAAGGTGGTCTTCGAAACTATAATAAAACTAAAATCTTTACTTTTTTCTCATCTGTAGATCCAGCGTCAATTATGTTGATGAAGATCAATGCAGAAGCATGTCCTACTAGACAATCTGCATTTTCATTTCCTTCAATATCACAATGGATGGGCACCCAGTATAATATAACTTCGTTCCTTGCTATTACCGTAAAACGGGGTGAAGTTGATCATTAAGTTGAAGTTGAAAGTTGATTCAATTTTCATTTCTCAACAATCCATTTTCGTGATTCTGTTGTAAGATAAGTGTTTCATTAATTAGTTTTAAATAGTACATAATTTTTCAACGTTTTCCATAACAAACGATGCTTTCTGCCGCTCTAAAAGTACAATTTAGTGAATGTGATAAAACAAGCAACTTTTAACTGTGCCTCAAAATTCTACCATAATCAGCATTTATTCTGGTGCTGTGCTCGTCAAAATTACATAAATTTCTTAATGTTGGGTCGCTGTATGCGAATAGGAAATCAGATTTCGTTTATATGACCGATTTAGTATCATTAAAATGTTTTTTTTTTTTGTGTTTGAAAAGCTGATGAGAATTGGCGTATTTTCTAACTATTTCATTACAAAATATATGTTTTTTTTCAGAATTTTTGTTTTATTTATATAGGTCGTCAAACAATGCAAACCGTTTTACAATTTTTGCCTAAAGGGGAAGTTCACCGAGGGGAAAGTAGAAAAATATATCAAAAATCTAAAATAATCACGTTTTTCATAAATTGTTAAAGACAATTTGCGTGCAAAATTTTTCGTTGCGAGTCATCGTGGCACCACAATACATCGAGTTTTTATAGGGTCAAATTTTTTAGCATGATGGAATTGAAAAAAAAATATTTACAAGTAAATTTTTCAGGAATCTAAGGAAAAAAACTGAATTTCTTGGATTGTTGTTAATTTTTTCCAATATTTTAAGAAAAATTAAAATGTGATGAAAAACAATGTTTTTTTTTCGAGGCGGTGCTATTTTTTTTTAAATTTTGCCTTTGTTACATAAATTATAATAGGTATGTTGTTAAAACAAAAATAAAAAAAAAAAACTACTACTAGCTGACGTTACGCGGGGAATTAAAGTATTGCTTTAATTTGGTTTTTGTCATTGTTATTGTATGTGATAATCAATTGGTTCAAGGGTCCAACTTTGACATAATTCGTACGATGGCGGTTTGTAGCAAATATATTTCGTAAATTCCTTGATGGTGTACATACATTTAAGGATGAAAATAGTTCTATTGCTTCCATGCGATGTGATACGATATCGTTTACGAATGAAATCATAGCAAATTAACGACGCTCTTTTAATGTTTGAATATTTAAGAGCATACATCTAACTTTTTTTTTTTTTTAAACTTTATTAGAGAGATTTTTAGTCGTTCGCTAGTTCATCTCTATAAAATGGGAGGCCCCAGAGGGGGGTTCTGCCAGCAAATTTTGCTACGGAGTTGGCTTACAATTCACATGCACTCAAATAGAAGCAAATAAAACAGATTCCAGTAAAAAGACTAACAATACAGGCAAAGAGAAAAAAAACAATCTGGTACATCAAAGTTAGGTAGGGTTCTGAAAGAGATCGGAGTTCCGTCGTAGGAGGGGTAATCCCCCGTCCGGTAGAGATGTACCGTCAGCTAAAAGAAAGTTAAAAGGACCTAAATGTTGTTGTATAACCCAGCGTCCTTGAGGAAATAAATAACTGTCGCTAAAGTGGAAGGTTCGTCGCCCAGTAAGTCCCTAATGCTGTTGGGAAGTGCGTACTGCTCCCGTAGTTGTTGGTATTGGTGTGTTCCACCGATGCAGTGGTTCCGCAAACGTAGCACATTCTGTGGAACTGCGTCCCACCAAAACTATGTGAGATCCTTGTATGGCCTGTCCTGAGACGAGAAACCACCTTCTGGTCCCGTAGTTTCGACATATCCGTCCACTTGCTCGTCGTTCCTTTGATTCTTCGGATGAAGAGGGATTGGGATTGGCACCACTCTGCTTCCCAGGCTTCCCACATTTTGCTGACTATCCATCGCTTTATGTCCTGTAGTGGCACTTCGTCGGTGTAACGGGGGCCAGCTGGTCCAGAGCCTGCCAGGCTGTCGGCTTCGCTGTTTCCTGGGATACCGCAGTGCCCAGGGATCCAGGAAAACACCGTGTTCGGAGGTGTGGCCTCCACAATACCCTGTATCCAGGGGTGAGTCATGGTCTCCGATGTAAGGGCTTGTATCGTGGCGGTGGCGGTAGGCTGCTACTCATCGGTGCTGAAATTCTGGCTACTCCAATTCCGACCCCGGCTCGGGAAAGCGATCCGTCTTTGTATATGTGGGCATGGGTTGGGTAGTCCGAGCCTAGCAGTTCGGCTATTGTTCTCTTCAGCGCTGCAGAGTTATCTCGAGCCTTGAACCTGCTTTTTATCCGACTCTCGATTTTTGGTGGAGGTATGCGCCAACTTTTGTCTCCGTACCAGTGGACCTTGGCCACTGGGGGGAGCTCTGAATTGGCAGTCATGCGGAGGAGTCTGTTCCCCTCATCGAGGAGAAAGATCCTGTCATTTCCGGAGGTCATTGCGGTAAAGGCAGCGGCTTTCGTTGCAATTGCTGCGGTTATACGATGGCGGAAGGGCAGAATACCCGCTTCGATGCATGCGAATGTAGAAGACCGGAGACAATCCGAACGTAGGTGTTAAAAGTTGGTGCTAGTATCTGCACGAGCTTTTCGGTGGCGATGCACGTCATCTCAAGACCGTACAGTAGGCGACTATCGATGACGGCTCTTGCAACCCGGAAACGAGTGTCACGATTGTTAGACCGGTGGGGGCGAGAGATAGTGCGGATCAAGTTGATCCTACTGCGGCAGTCGTTCTTGATCGCCTGCTCGAAGTTGAGGGACCGGTCAACAAGTACCCCCAGAATACGGACCGTCTTCTTCAGTGGTATGGGCTGGCTTTGAACTTTAATAGGTGGCCCGCTGACACGGTGCCGGGATGGACACACGTGGCACCTGACGTTTTTGTGGCCGAAAGCTGGAAACCTACCGCGCTGACTCTCCTGGCTACAGCGGAGACTGCTGCCTGGGATACATCGAGCTGTGCAAGATGGCAGAGGAAATACAGTCCAACCTCTAGACGGGTAATATCACAGGTGGGCGGGAGCTCACGTTCTCCCAGTGTTGGTGAGTTCTGTGCCGTTAATGTTCAAGATAAGTTCACTATTTTGCCATACAGAAATTCAAAACAAAAAAATTATGGGAGGATTTGGATAGTTTTTGACTTGCTTCATACGACCAGAAGGTGTATGCTGGTCACAAATTCCGTGCCAAACTGATTTCCTACGCAATTAATCAACATTTGATGTGAATTTCATTTTAGTAAACAAACTAACACCTACTGTGTCACCATTCTTCTTACCACTTAGGTCCAACCTAACATGCGGAGTGCATACAATAGAAACTGCTTTTGAACGGAGTATACAATAGAAACTGCTTTATAATTGCATAAAAACCTGCGTGATCAACTTCACACCAGAGTTGATAATTTTAATTTTTAATCTAATTTTAATACTGAAAAATAAAAATTAAAAAATTTACAGGTTAATCAGTAAAAAATGATCAACTTCATGAAGTATTTTCCGAGCTCATCAGCAATTTATGTTGGTAAAATTCGGCGGCAAATTGATTACCGGGGTGAAATTGATCGTTCTGCGT